GGACTTTATTCAGTGGTACATGTTTGTGGTTTTTCTGTAGGACTTTATTCAGTGGTACATGTTTGTGGTTTTTCTGTAGGACTTTATTCAGTGGTACATGTTTGTGGTTTTTCTGTAGGACTTTATTCAGTGGTACATGTTTGTGGTTTTTCTGTAGGACTTTATTCAGTGGTACATGTTTGTGGTTTTTCTGTCTTGACAGAATTGTGTGAAGATTAAGGTTGAGATATTTTGTCCATTCTTGTGTATGTCAAAGTATTGTGTTAACTTATAAGTATATTTATTTGTACAATGTACAAGCACATTAAATCTATTATACTTAAGCAAATAATGGTAGCTACTAAGTCAATCTGTATTCATTGCAATGCAACATTATTTTTTGAAAAAATTGTTTAATAGTTATGTAACTGTACATAAATAATAACAAATATATTGGATTATAAGGTTAATTCTTCAGTTTATGATATTTTGAATTCAAGAATTTGACCATTTATTCAGTTCTGAATACATTGTCCATTTCCTAGATATGGAAATACACTTTGTATTGGTTTTCTAATTAAATCACCTTTCTTTTGATTTCTTATTTTTTGTAACATATGTTAACCTCCAAATTTATGTTACACTGCAAAGAAAATGAAGCACTAATTTTCCTGTTTCATATCCTGTGGTGCACAATTTCTAGCTTTAGAATATTCAAAATGAAAAATGTTACCTGTTCATACATAATCTCCGAGTTTCATTTTATCATCAGTAGCTGGAAGTGATTCAAACAATACAATAATGATGAAAGTTAGGTTTTTATTTCTGTCATAAAAGTTTTTTTCATGATTCTAAACATGGTACAAAAGCATTAAAGTAGAAAATAAACAATTTAAAATATTAACAAAATGGAAGAGTAATGTGACAAAAATATTTGTCAGCTATGGTAAAAATTGTATAATTATGCACCTTTACATGAAAGGGCATAATGTTTCAGCATGACATCTTAGTAAGTAGATCATGAAAGTTGAAGTTTAGATGTTAATGTGTGACTCAGTTTAACAGAAATGTTACATATATATGTTGGATTTTCTTGCTTTGTTAGAATACTGAATTAAACATTTTTAATTTTACTAATAACTAAATTTGTATAACATAGTTCTTGATATTATAACAACAAAGAAAACATCCTGAAAGACCTACTTTTCTTATTTTTGTAAAAGGATAAGAGTGTGAAAGCTCAAAATAATGATGGGACATGCTGCAGTTAAGGATTCAAACTTGACAGACATTATTCTACACATTAGCAAACATTTAAATTATGATACAATGTCCTGACCTCTAGATGTTTATTACATTTATAATCACAAGCTTTACTCTGAAGAACAATGAAAGTTTTTATGTAGACTTAAACTCTGTGGTTTTGATTATCCAAACATTACAGTTATACCAACAACCTTGTATTTTCTTAAGTGATAATCAGTTTAAACATGAGGTGAACGAAGATCACCAACAGAAGAAACTATACATTGAACAGATATATTGCATATACACTAATACTTTTACTTTTGTGTAAAATAATCAGAATATTTGCTCAGTACATTAATACAAGTTTAGGTTTTATTAATACTGTAAAAAAAGTTGTATTATATGATACCATATACTGGTGGATGAGTACAAACTTGGTCCATTGCTTGCTGAACATTTTCCACTGGAATCTTAGCTTCACACATGTTCACCAACAAATACAAGTAGCGTAGTGTATATTGATTCTGTTCAAATAAAGAAAAATGCAATTATAATAACACTGGATACAATCAATAAGGAAGTGGCTAGTGAAAAAAACTGTTTCTGAAGTGATAAAGGAAATGTTTAATGAGAAGCTGTGTATATACCCGAGATGAAGTGACTATTGAAGAGGACTGCCTGTTTTAAATGATAAGGGAATAAAGAGACTTATTTGTTTGAGAAAAGAAAAGTAATTAATGAGCAGGGTTATGCATTTGAGATAGTATGGGAAGAGGTTACTGAGAAGGGGCAGTGTTTGAGATGACATGAAAAGTACTTGATGAGGAAAGTTGTTTGAAATAAGAGAAGAAATAAATGTGGTAGGTATTATATGTTAAATAAAGTTATGTCCAATGAAAAAAGTTGTTTTTCTAACATAGGAAAATGATGATTGTATGAAATGACAAAAGGATAACAAAGATAAGCAAGGTTGTTTGAGGTGATGATGGAAGTAGTTGATAAGGAAAGTTGCTTCAAATACCAAAACGTTTATTTTTAGGAGAACTATTTGTGCAAGGTGATTAAGGAAATATTTAATAAGTAATTTGGTTTGAGATGATCAAGAAATTATTGGCTCAAATACATGATAAAAGAACTAAGGAATGTGTTGTTTATATGCAAATTTTGTAAATTTTTATTCATAATAATAGTTCTGTAAGGAAGCTATAACTGCAATCATTTGCACAACACTTCTTTGAAGCACACTAAAACCTTATATGTAGGCTTAACTTCTGTATCTTTAGTTGTATTATAGTGACATTGAATCTTATGCTTCCATCTATATTTTACCATTTGTGATATAACACTAATCAATAGTTAAGACTGCAACCAAAAATATAAAAATTGTATAAAAATTCAAAATGTTATAAAGTTGTTGTGGATTTAAAGAATGAAAAGTAGATTTGTATCAACTTTAATGAAGGATTTTATTCTTAATTTGTATAATTGGGAACTAAATTACATAACTTTAAATTTCTAATTCTTCAGCATGGTTCTTCAAATTTTAAAATTAATTTCATCAGAGCATATGTTAGTATTGGTTGTACACTAAACTATTTAGTATATCAGATGTCATTACTTTTATTATAATTTATGGTTTTTGTTTATAATACTTTTATTATAAAAATTGTTTTGTATTGTTAGCCCAAAATATGTGTTTAAAACTAACCTAAGCTTCGTAAGGTGGCTAAATTTCATGAGATATTATTGGGATTAAGTTAAAAAATGTTGTTAACATTAAGGGTACCCAACTAATGAAACAATGTATTCTATTCTTTATAAAAAGAAACTTAAGTATATTCAATTAGCTATATTGAAGACAAGGTTGAATTTTAGTTTCACTTCAAGTATATAGCTTACTCTGATCAGAAATTATTGTTATTTATTCGTAAATATAAACTAATTATCAATCTTAGGTTTGTATCAGTCAGTTATCTGCAGCTTTCAGTTTACAGCTAATACATACCAAAGTAATATCGAAGCACTCATCATGAAAATATTCCAATAGCTTATAATAGCAGTCAAATTCTGTCAGTTCACTATGTTCATTCCAAATGTTCATAACATCTTCTTCATGACCAAGCAGCAAGATTAACTCCATCATTCTACTTTTTAGGAAGTTTCGATTCTGTTAAAACAATCATAAGTAAGGAAAGGTGAAAAAATTAACAATAAAAGCATATATGGAAAGAAATACTTTACTCCAATGTTAACCACTGTTGTGTAGTAGAAATAGTATTAGTAAAAATTGCTTGAAGTATCCATGCTGAATTCCTATTAAGGCTAGGAAATAACTGATAGAAAAAAAAGATTACAGATGAATTAATCATTCATAGGGTGTACATGATATATTCCACTTCAATTACTTGGGCACCACTAATGCATAGTTAGGCAAGATGTTTACCTTATTTTGAGACTTTCTACCCTAAGAGTACAGAAAAAGCATCAAACCTCTTAGAAGGTTGGATCTATATCCTATCTTGTGAGCAAAATAAACAATGAAACATTCAACAATTGGCTAATAATTAGCAATATAATGAGGCACGAAAAACATAAGGGTGATAAACTGGTGACTGAATGTTAGAACAGCAACCCTTGTGATGGAAGGAGCCATCCACTTCAAAGTTGTCTTTGAACCACAGATGCCATTGGTCTCTATCTGATACAATCTTTACCTTACAATGTTCTTTGTAAGGCTTGTGACCACTAACTGATTTTTTTTATCAAGGTTGTTTCCATGAACTGCATGTGAATGATCTAAATTGCATAGCAAAAAAAATGGTAATCATATAAAAACTAAGTTAAAATTATTGTTAGTTAGTTTGCTCTGAGAATTCTTAGAGAAAAACAACTGATCCTCCAAGCCAGAACCACGAAACAAGTCCTAAGTCCTTCATGAAACCTCTGTTTCATGAACTTATTGTCACATAAACCTCCTTGAGTTGGTGATCTGTGTGAGAATGCCACTGACTGTCTCTTCTAGCATTTTCAAATAAATACTGTTTGTAACACAGTAACTGCCTTTTGATAGTGCCCACTAAATAAAGAAAATAAATGTGTGCATACATCACATATATATTTAAAATGTCTCTGAAGTAATCAATGACTTAAAAGTGATATTAACTTTTGAAAAACATATTATAAATACAAAAACATTATATTGTAAGCCAATGCCCCACCCCCTACAAACATATATATAAAAAATTCAAGTAAAAAATGAAGTAATGCAAACACTGAAATTGCAGAATTCTATCTTATATCATAAAAAATTTTTAATAAATAGAACAACTTAAAATTTCAGACATTGAAACATCACCACAAACATTTTAATCCTACTGCCACGGGTCTACCTATGATCACAGGTCAAATCCCACGTCGTTGTGTTTTTAGACTCACATTAAAAATTTTATTAAACTAATATTTTATGAATGTATGTCAACAAGTTTTGTATCAAATTGTAGATTATAACTAAATTGTTAGTATTATACATGAATTAATTTCCTGATGTAGAATATTTAAAAAAACATTGTTTTTTTTGTTTCACGTGGTATGTTGAATGCAGCATTGGTCCAAATTAGATGTTCGTGATGACCAAATACAAAGTCTATAATGTCTTATGAATTAGATACTCAAATTACTGATATTGACAAGCTAGAATCTAAGATAAGAACCACCTATCTTTTCTATTTTCTAAAATATTAACATATTTATTGAATCAACCAAGGTGACCCCAAGTATTTTTTGAAAATACTTGCTTATGTACATCTACTTTATTCAATGATGTGGTCATAACCAATCAAAAGCTCAGAATGTCCCCCCAGTGGTTTTCTCAGCCTCTGCAAAGTATATGCAAAGGAAACTTTCTTTTCATGCTAGATTCCAAGCGGTAAGGAAAGAAATTAGTGAGCTTGAAAAATCATATTTTTTTACACCCAAATACAACTTAGTTACTAAGCTTGATAAATTATAGTAGAATTCTGTGGTATTGATATTGTAATTTATGATTTTTTTATTTCAAAATGTATGTATAAAACCTAAAAAAATTGTGTTTCACATCTTCCATGTTGAAATTTAATAAGGTTTAGCAACTTATGGCAAGCAGTAAAGTTCATGACTAGAAAAGATGATTGTTTTCTATACTTCTTTACTTACTGTTCTATGTTTAAAGAAAAATAACTGAAATTCACGAACATATTTGTAAATGGTAATAATGTATATACATATATAATGTATTATAACTGAAATATGACTGTATTCTACTAAATACTGGTCCAATAGGACACAGCCAATTCAGGTCACTTTGTAAGGGCCAGTTTTATATTCTTGGATAGGATAACATAAGTGCACATGTGCCACGTCATTGCAACTTCTGTAATGTTAGTCAGACGCAGCTGAAAGGTCAATAAAATAAAATTATATATATATATATATATATGTGTATAATGTTATGAGATTTATGCAATTTAGAATAAACATTTGTGTTTTCTTGTTATAATTTGTAATCATTCTAGAATGAGAAAAGTATCACTTATATGTATTTCCTAATTTTTTATGGTGGTTACAAGGTCCGTCAAATCGACCAAATATGTATAGAGATACAATATAAAGTTTTTTCTAAAAAGAATGTTTAATAATTATCTGAAGGTTATAAAGATTTTGCATTTGAAATTCTAAAATTTTCTAATCCATAAAAGTATCTTTAATTTTAAAATCAAAATTATTTTGCATGTTGGATAGTCAACATTGAAAAGAAAAAATGCATGAGAAAAACATTACTTAAAAAGTCTTAAAACTTAATAAAGAAAATTTTATATTTTGCATACTAAAGCCTTGTAGTGTTTACTGATAATCTGCAAAATTTATTGAAGATACGCTTACTGTATTGAAAGTTATTGTTTGAAAACTATAGCAAGCACAAAATGGTCACAAGGTCAGTCCCTGGGACCGAGCCCGTGGTGAAAGAGTTAAAAGTAAATAAAATATGTTCAATAAAAAAAAGGTACCAGGTATGCTTGGTTTGAAAAAAGGACTACTATATATGGCTATAAACTGTCCTGTTCCACTGTTTCAAGCCATAGCACATCAACTGTTCAACCGATGCAAAGCTACCTATGCCATGTATGGCATTAATTGTCACTTTGGTTTGGCATTGGATTCATATATTTTGTTACTGACTTCTTAGTTTTAAAGCAGTAAAATTGAAATAGCTCCCAAAATCGAATTACTCATCTGATTGCTTGTCCATGTCACTTAAACTCAATTACTGAGGGAGTACACCCAAGTTCCTTTACGAAATTGCTTTTAAATTGTTTTGTACAGTTCCTCACACCAACTTATGCCACCAGATAAATTATTCTTTATATATATTTAGAATTCACTGAGTTCACATTCTGTTCATCATAGGGCTTTCATTTTTATGTTCACTGTAAACATTCTGCACGCTTTAAATGAAATTACTTTCATGAGGTTTCTTGATGCAAAGACTCTTTTATTTTGCCATGTGAACTGTTTTATTTGATATAAAATAATAAAATTAAAATATGCTTCAACAATAATGAAGCAGGAGAAAATGTGAATTATACTTTTAACTTTTGGATGCAAGCCAAAGTACACTGTCATTACTTTCAATACATTTCCTGAGAACATTTGGATATTTTACTGGAATAGTATAGTAATCACTTAAGTGGGACAAAATAACTTTGATTTACGGAGTTTTTAACCATGAGTAACTTCATCATACATAGCAATATTTTTAGATGGGAGTTTTATTCACACTAAAAGAGTATGCTACACATATCTATTCCAAAGAGTCATAAGGAGCAAGGTCCTTTCGAAATTGTAATACAATTTTGAAAAAAAAAATTAGTTATAGCTAGTAACATTATCATCACAAAACACCATCAAATAGCTATATATTTAGTGTACCTGACCTATACATATATTAAATTTTGTTCCAGAAACAGTGAAGTGTCATAATTCTGGTGAATAAATAAGTGATTTAAACACTTTTTATAATGAAATTCTGAATGTTTTAAAATAAATTTCCAATTATAGAGTAAGTCTGAAGTACTATGCTGTAATGTATTAATGTTTTCTCTGTTGTTTTAAATAGATGGTAAGTAAAAGAACATCCTAGCTGCTGTATATTAATAAAAAGAAAAAAAAGGAAATTCTGGGCTTTGACTGATTAAAATATATATATATATATATTATCTGTGTCAACAGAAAATGTTACAATTACACAATTCTATAGAAGAGAAAGAATATAGGCAAGTATGAGAGCATATGTTTAATCTAAGGCTAAACCATTCTTACCTCAGACACCTAATTCTAATGAGTTGACATGTTAACCCATATTGTTATATATCCATGTCTTCTACCTATATTATCAAGAACAAATGACCTAACCTGGGTTAGCCTGTTAAACTCTTCCTGCAGTTTTGGTTTTTCTTCTACTCCTGCTTTAGCCAGTCGTCGCTGAAGAATAGCTAGAGGTACATCCTCACTGGGAACAGCATCAAGCTGTAAGGCAACATGATATTTATATGTATGAATACAAAAGAATAATTAAAATATTAAATATTCATTCTCCAAAATATTTGTATACATGTGATACCAATCAGCTTTTGCGGTATTCTCAGGTAGTATCCACAAATAAACAGACGTCCAGTCAGGAAATATATCATGAAGTAAGTCTGAATTCTGACTGATTGAATTTGAAGCAAGAAAGAGACTGAATGCAAAGGAATGAAAGTGAAAAACTATATATATGGACAAAAGCAGCATAAGTAACTAGTGCTCTTGACAGAAAACAGAATTTTTACAGGAAATTAAGACTTGAACTTGTACCAGATTAACAGACCACCGCACTATATTCAATATTCTATAATCCTTCCCTGTCAGTGCACATGTTGTATTCAGGTTTATTAACGTTCAACAGAAAAGTAAAACGTTTCCACAATAATGCAGGTTAAGGACTGGTGAGTGAACAAATGAATGGAAAACAGACGATAGAGGAAAATAAGCAAGTACAAGTATATTTTAAAACATAAAATTCTTTGTTAATAACGTTATGTGATGTTACCAAAACTGGACATGCTTCTTTATATGATTATTGTATGGTTGGTGAGGTTGAAGGCAAGGTGTTGAAAGACGGTTGCAAAAACAAGAGCAAGAGACAAAATTCTGGAAATACCCCACTTATATACCCAGACAAAATGAAACCTTAATAAGGTAACTGACAAGTTTAAAGTTCGCATACTTCATCCATTGGATTACATAGAACTCTAAACTAATCCAAACCAACCTGTATAGGTTTCTGTAATGTCTGTTTGAATAAAATACCTTCCAAAAACTGCACACAGAAATACACTCGACAGCTGGACTTAAAAACAAAGGCTACTATATGTAAAAAAATCAACACATGTTTATTGACTTCAGCCATGAAGTAAAAATGAACAAGCATGAATAAATGCAGAAGATACATGGAAATTAAGATAAAAATTAATGATTTTTTTCTAAATGAAAGTATTCTATACTAGTTATGGAAGTGTTCACAAGTTTTCCATTCATGACTACTCATGTAACTGGTGGTCATTTTAATAGCAAAGTGGGGGGAGGATATCTCAAGGTATTACCTGGCCAGCCATTACAAAAGACCTTCACCTACCTTCATGTAGTGCATTATACTTTAGAATAATCTTTCCAGTGAGAAAGTGTCCATGAAACCATATGGAAATGATCCAGGCCAATAAGGTAAATCGGAGAACAGGAAATTAGCCATGTTTCATGAACACTATTCTATTGAGCTACATGGCCTGTATATGTGAAAAATTTTGAAAATTCTTTATAACTTGAAACTTTCATCTTAATAACTAAGGATAGTAACACATACTAACTATGCAGCTGCATATCACACCTTCAGACAGCTGTTAAATTGTGTTTTGATAGTTTTGAGTGTTAGCTAGATAAGTTTGTAAGTGATAAATACCTATAACACTATTTACTAAAACACTATTCAGATACAAGATATTTGAAATGCAAGTGTGTAAGAATAATTTCAAGCAAGTTATTATACATGAGTTTTATATCTTAAACTATTAAGTAATTAATAAAGCATGTCTCACTTGGGTACCAGTGTGTGATGATTTAAAGCAACTGAAAATTTCTAAATTTACATGATTTTCAATTCAGTATCTTTATCGTATTAAAGTTGTTGTTTTTCTCAGCTAAACAATTAAAATGTTTTGCGAAAAAGTGAATATCATGTTCATAAATAAGATATACCTCAACATTATTTTTCTGTGACTCTCATCTTTAAATTAAAAAAAATGTTGTACTTACTGGAATTTTTGGAGAATAGTTCAGAGGAACACTTTTCTTGCCTTGGAATTCACTGACATGCATTTTCCCAATGGTCTACAACAATAAATAAATAACATAAACATTCTAATACAGAAAAACACCTGATTTAAATAATTCAGATGTTAAACTAAAGACCCTGAATGGTGAAAAACTTCGCCCTGATATATCTGCACCTTTCTTTTTTTGTTACTCATTCTACAGCTGACTATTTTTATGCTTTCTGTTGTAGTTAATAGGTACAGAGCATGAGGGTAATGGATAACAAAGACAACAAACATGTATTCATCACATATACTGATTCCATGCTTCCTGGTATCAGATTGAAAATCTGAAAGTTGTATTGAATTCAGCTCAACTAATGTAGCTAAACTGTTTACTAATAGTTGCTAATGCACTTCTTTGATTATATGTTTCATTTTTTCCGGCCTAATTTCTAATAAAATATCCTACTTTTTCATGGCCGCGGGTCTTAAAAACTTATATAGCAGTATCTTTTGTAACTTTCTTTCATTGTTAAGTACATAATTGATGTCTCTTGATATATAGAGCTTTTATGATTTGTTACTGGTTAAAATATTTGTTAGAAAATACTATACAAACAAATTATAAACTTGTCTTAATTTGTACACAGGTTTTAGATAAAACTTCTGCAGCAAAAGTTGCCACTAAAGGCTTGTTAATACCTCACTTACTCATCATTTACACACAAAGAACTATATAATCTTAATGTACAAATTGCTGTCTTTATATATTATAGATATATTTATCTGTTTTTGCTTACTGTTGTAAAAAAAAATTACAACATGGTATATGTAGATACTGTTTAAACTAAAAATACATAGCTCACCAAATCACCATACTCTTGAACATGGCTGGTGTTAGTTTCCTTTTTTACCATAAGAAACTGTTGCTGTAATGTTTCTTTGGTAAGTTGTTCCTGAAATTAGACAATTTCAGTACTTCAATAAACACACAGAAAACTATATGTATTAAACAAATTACAGTTGAGAGATAATGATACAATGCATTTTATAGTTAGGCTGTTATTTCCAGTTATAGTTTATACATTGTACAATTATTAATATGTTTACAGCCTTTATAGAATTTATTATGTACCAAAAACAGTATAACTAGTATATGAAGTAACTATGACCCCCCCCCCCCTAGTGCTATCACCCAAATTATGTTTAAAACACAAAATGACCCTGATATGAACAACTATTATCTAACCTATGTTCTTTGGGCTTACAATGCTAAAAATCAGGTTTCAATACCTGTAGTGAGCAGAGCACAAAAAAGCCCATTGTGTAGGTTTGTGCTTAACAACAACCAAACCAAATTATGACTTACTGCACTGATTAACTTAGTATCAAATATATATATATATATATATATATA